GATCGATAATTCTACTTTTATTTACAAATTCATCACAACTACTATGACATCGTATAGTTTTCTAGTGTTTTTTGTCTTGGACCTTAAGTTAGTCAACTTCTACTAGCGACAATGATTCATTTTCAATCTCAGTTGTTTTACTTGTATCTTTTTAATCCTCTTCTGTTCTTTCATCTTTACAGCTTTGGCAATCACATCACTCTTTCCTTTCATTTATTTCATGGTAAGTACTTAAATCTTTTTGGATTTTCTTCGTCTTTCTTCTGAGCTTTACTATTCGCCACTCTCTATTAATTTTTAGTTATGAAAGATAGAATTTAGATCATATTCCTCTTTCTTATCTATGTTGGCACAAAGTTTTATTCCCTTCTCTTACTTTTGCTCACTAATAGCTCAAATTTGCAAATTTATAATAATAATACTTGTTGATAGAAAAATTAAATAAACAGTGCATCCCTGCTAATAGCTTAATCATTTAGCTAAGATAATTTAACAAGCTAAGGTCATGTAATTAGTTTCTCAGCTAACCATTTATAAAAATTGTTTGCATTTCAAGCCTTTGATGAAAATATGAATTTGGCTTGTAAATAGATGTGTTTAATTAAGAAAAATTTAAATAAACAAGTGTGTACTCTCTTTAACCGTTTCAACTCTTCAATAAGGTTAATAATGAAAAAGAAATGACACATTCCTAAATATATATGGCTTTGGCTTCAAAGCTGAATAGTGCAAAATGTCCTAACCAACTTGAGCCCTTGTAAAAACCCATCTAACCTGACTATGTTAGGTGTAAGAAATACAAAGATGGGTAAAAAAGCTCAAAATAACACTCATTTGTATTGATGGATTATATATAGAAAATATATACACTAAACCCTTGTTAGGGATTAAAATTCAGATTTTAATCTTAATCAAAGTCAACAATTAATTTTAACAACATATTTCATGAATTCACGACGTTTCAACCACACATTTAATTAACATTTATCAAAATCTACTAAAAATCTGATTTTAATCACTACCAAACTATATTCACCATATTACAACATATTATTGAAAATCGACATTATTTTAATACGTCCTTATCATGCCCCCAACAAGATAGTGGGCTTGGAGGTTACACTAATCTTGGATCAATGTTGTTGATGAAATAAGCAAGTTAAAAGTTATGTAAGCACATCAACAATCTGATCTTGTGATACACATATATTGAACTATGGATTTTGTTGAAAGATGTGACAAGATTAACGTAAAGGTAAGTTATGCCAATGATGTTACAATATATAACCTTTTCTTTTTTTAAAGCAAAACATCAACACAGCTTCAATAAGTTTTCAAGCTCCATCAAAAAAGGTTGATTGGGATTAGGATGTCCTGATCGTATATAAGTTAACTTAGTTATGCATTGAAAAGCCAAAAACGAGTCTGCTTTCACACCCATATGTCGGATAATCAAAGTCGTCAAGCAAGTAAAATCTCATCCAAAATAGCTTGTAACTCAGCTTCCAGATTAAGCCAGCCTTTATATGATGACGAGAAAACCCTAATATTGTGTCCATTGTGATCCCGAATAATGTCCCCACCACTAGCAAAAGAATCTTTAATGTATTCATCGGTGTTAATCTTGTAAAATCTCACTTGCGGAGTAGCCAAAGAACCAATATAGGGAGTGCTGAGGAAGGAATAGTCAAAGAAATACCAAAAAGTAGGATGATAGCCAAGTCTACACGCAAATGAACATGCCGCAATAAATTAATGACCAGTGTGGAGGAGTGAGATCATGCAGCATACTCTCCAAATGATTCGAAGAGGCTCTATATGTATCTCCCTATTCTTCGCATCATTCCTTGCAATTGATAAGAAGCAAAATATCATCAACAGAATGCTAATGCGAATGTCCATTTCGAACATCTCTGGAACTGATGTCTAACTCCGTCTCCCAATGTCATACATATTTGAAAGATATCTCCAAAATGATGTCATACATGATTAGAAATGGTGCGGCCTGTGAAAATGTATGTAATAGTCTCCATCTCCGTACAACACTGACGTGGGAGGCCATCTAACAACCAATCCTCCTCTGAATGACCAGATCGATTGACATCAAATCCTACTACAATCTAAAGTAGAAGAAAGAAGTTCTAGTATGCATAATGGTGCTCCATATGAGCCAATATGAATATTGAGATTGCCAACTAGAATGGACTAACTGTCAAGCTGACTTGGTAACAAAACTACCATCAACCGTATCCTTCAAATCACCCAATCTAGGACATATGCACATAGAGGTATGGCCCCAATCAGCTCAACCATAGATGGTGGTAAAGACTGTGACTAGGGTTGGGCGTGGGTTGGGTTGGGTCGGTTTTTGTCCCAACCCAAACCCAACCCAATGTGGTCGGTTTGATATGAAATCAAACCAACCCAACCCAAGTAAATGTTGAAACTCAATCCAACCCAACCCAACCAAGTGTCGGTCGGGTTGGGTCGGGTTGGTCGGGTTGAACAAAGTGTAACCTATTACCATGATTCAAACAAAACCAACAAGTCGGATAACTAATTGATAATACGATTAATATTTAATAT